ATAAAACAAATAGTGGCAAAAAACATGGTTTCTGAGACCTTTCGTGAAATCTTTACTGGTAATTATTATGATAAATACCATACATCCAATTAATTACTCATAATACTTTTAAATTAATAAATCATTGATTATATTTAAAGGGCCCACTTCTTTATATCCATCAAACAAAAGTAAGGAAGTTTGCAAAAGTAAAGAGACTTACAACCAAACACCAAACAAAGGCAAGGAGAAAGTTTATAATGAGCCAACAACACTTTACTATGCCTTCCATGCTAGCGGTATTGAAAAGACTCAAGAAGTTGTTGGATTTAGATGTGTGTGGTGTGATACTTTAGTGTTTAGAGATATTGATTGTTTAATGCTTCATCTACAAAGTTTTCATCATCATTTTGAATATATTATGAAAGTAAGTGAATTAAAATAAATAAAACAATTCAATATTTTTTTTAATCAATGTAACTTTTTTTTTATAGCAAAAAAATCAAACAACCATTACTCTTCATAGAAATTATAAAAATTCTGATAATGAATTTTTTATGTTTAAAGTTGATGAAGCCCATGTCCCAAAATTATTTGCTCATCAAGAAAGGATTATTTTGCCATCACCACCATCACCACCATTGTCTTCAACAGAATTTACATCAGGAGATTTTGTGAATTCTTGTACGTTTGCTCCATTCACTGCAGATAATGATATAATTGCTGAAAATAATGCTTGTAAACATTGGACTGAACAACAAAATGATGAGGTTTGAAAAAAAAAATCAATCATTATATTTGGAAAAATCAATCAATTTTTTCCGTATAAAAATAAAAATGAAAATAAAATTTTTTTAGGAAATAGATGCGACAGGAGATATCGCAGATGGTGCCAAACTTTTAATGAAATCGTGGTGTAGATTTGTGAATCAAGAAAGGTAAAATATTGTATTTTGATATATGTCAGTTAATCAGCATCTTGCTTTAACTGGAATCTTTTTTCTTTATTAAAAAAAAATATTTAAAATTTGAATTTATTTTAATTTCAATTTCAATTTCAAATATATACAGTAATTCTCTTTGTGAATCTAATTTTCCAGACTTTTGTAGAAGATTTGCAACGGCACATGCAGCTCAGATTCTAAAACTTGATCTTAGACAAATCTTTGCAAGGCAATTACTTGCCTTCTGCGAAAATGGATCACTTGATAAGTATTGCCTGGTTGATTTTTTAAGGATTATTGATGATCACAATGTAGAAGTTTAGTCAAAGTGTATATATACTTTATAAAAATTTTACTAGTTGTTTAGGAAATTAATAAGCATATACGGTGCGCAGATTAAGCTTAGATGGCGGATAAGGTTTGGCTTGTCAAACAATATAGTGTTATTATTATGGTTATGGTTATGGTTATCATGTAAAAAGTGATTTGTAAAACTTGATCGATTAAAACAAATTATTTTAATGTCTAAATATATGTTGTACGTGAAAATAAAATTATGTGAATTCGTAATTCACATATGTGAAATTCAAATTTACATGTGTGAAATTCAAATTAGCCAATCAGAATTTCACCCCACTCCATAATATTTCAATTTCACATACAACATATATATAGATTAATTTTCGACCTTTAAAATTTCTTATCAGATTAAATTAAGATATTGTATGAAAAATTGTTCTTTTTTCAGATCAAGTGAGATCTCTCATAGAAAGATCAATTCTGCATTGAAACTCCATTCGAAATGGTGAAAGTGATAATCAACTATTTGGTTTCTTTCTCTGGTAAAAAAAACCAAAGAGATAATGAAAATCCTGAGAATACAAAATTCTTGGATGAATATCTTAAGAGATCTTTCCAGGTAAAACTTTTTCAAACAGAAGTTATTTCACGCATGTTATTCTTCCTCGTTATTATTATGAAAATCAACCATTTGGGCGACAATTCAATTTATTTGATAACAGTCAAGAATTGACCTTGCAAATGAGGAAATTTTAATATTCAAAAAATATTGATTTTATATCTTTTTAGTCAATGGTAATAATGCACTTGGTCAACTTTCTTCCTTTCTCGCTATCAATGTTAATCCTTTTGACATTATTTATTTTCTATTATAACAACTACTCGCAAAACCCAAATTTTATTTAGGTTAAATACACAGTAAACGTTTATTAAGGTGTACAGTTTTATAAAAGTCCAGAGACGATGAATTTCTACGGCGAAATCTGCGGCGGTCATACCAAGAATCTGTGACGTTTAAAAATATTATTTCTTTCTACCTATTTTACTTGTAGTTCTGCTTAATTCTGCTATAGAATCTTATTTTATTTAATCAAAAATAGCTAAAACAGTTAATAAAAAAAAAAAAAAGAATAAAAACAAATAATTCTTATTCGAATTGCTAATAGAAAAAAAATAATACATCAATCACTATTGCTATTATTCTCATTTATAACAATTACACAGTAAACCTTGGTTTTGGGTAATTTGAAAACTTTATTCAAAAATCTGTTATATCAATGTCAGAAGAGTTTTACTATTATGATGATTAATAATATTATTATTATTGAACCAATCAAGATCCGTTAAATCGAGGTATTCTGAATCGAAAACTACGACTATTATTATCACAAATACTATGAATAGAAGAAAAAATAGAACCGACAAAGAAATTTTTTAATCGGATTGTACATATTATTCGTTTTATTCGAATAAAAACCCTAATAATAGTAGTTATACCAATTAGGATATACCATCAATAAAATATTCTTAAACTATTATTTAGTCGTTAGCATCAATTCAGAAATTATATTCTTCGGCATTCGTTATTATATAGCAACTTTCATCAAATTTAATACATTATTTATTTCAAGTATTATTGTAAATCTCAATGTTAAAGTTATTTTTTGCCTAAGGTTCGCATAACAGATTGTCATATTAATTAATATATGTCCAGCCTATGTCCATTTAGGCGTGTCTTTTTATATTGGAGTTTATTTATTTTAAATGAAATGCCAAACTTTTTTGTGTCTTCAAATAAATAGTGAACAATTGGATCGTTAACAACCTAAAAATATTGTCTTTTGCTGAAATCCATGAATTGCAATGCTATTGACTACATACATAAATCTTTGACAACATCTAACAGAAAATATTAATATTAAAAAACTACAAAATGAATATATTGTTATATACAAGCGCATATCTGAGATTTTCCAATACCAAACCCTACATTTACCCATCCTTCGTTAGTTTTCAGTATACGTCGCAGCTAAAAAAATTTTATATAACTACTTAAGGTGTCCCACAAAGTAATATAGTAAATAAATATAAAAGGGCTCCTAGCTAATAATTAAAAACGTTGACCAAACTATTAATCATTAGTAAAGGTCACGGAACAACGGCTTTGCCTCTTTAGCAACTATCCAACAAAATTGTAAAGATAACAACATATTTTAATGACTAATTCTGAAGGTCTAGACATTTCTGTCTCTAATAGCAAAAATACCTTTTCATTAGAACAGGAATGATTTATATTATATGGGGATAATCCTATTACTATTACTGTGTATTTTACAATTGTGATGTTAAACAATTTTTGACCCTGAAATTTCTTTTGTGACAGTATTAATATGTAGTAACATGTGGAAATTTTTTGCACTAGCCAATTGATGACAATTTGTTTCATCAAGGAAATTTTCTCTTTTCACTCAAATTGAATTTCCAAAACAAGTAGGGACAAAAGTATTCTTGAAACAAGAAAACAAATATTATTTTGTCTTAATTATTCGTTTATTGATAATATTTTGCAATTAGTCAGGATTACACATGAATATTAGTATGCTGATTTACAAATCTTTCAAAGGGTCTTCGTCGATTTCAACCGGATCTAGCTCAATATCTAATTCTTCCTATAAAATATTTTGTATAATAATAAATAATAAATTTGGAATCGGAGGTTTTCAATAAAAAATTTACCATAAAATCCGTTTTCTTTTTTTCTGTATAATCTAAAATTAAATTAAACATATCATAAAACTATAATAATAATAAGGTTAAATTAGTAATTATTACATATACATTTATATAAAAAGTATGCATACGTATACATTTCTACCATTCTTTTTCTTTGTCTCCATAGTTTGCGATTCTTTTCATATCCTTCATCTATTTGTTTTTTTTCTTCGTCAGATATTTGTATCGTTCCTGATTGTAATACTTGTAACCTTTCACCATATTTTTGATTCTTTCAATAAAACAAATTAATTTTTTAATTTTTTTGAGATCGTGCTATTTACTATTCAATAATATTTGTTTACCTCTTCTTTTACAATTTCGATTCTTTAGCATTTATTAACAACCAAATTAATCAGATATTAATTTAGCAAATTTTATCAATTAATTTCTCGTCAATAATTTTTAAATTTACCTCTCGTCAATTTGTTTATTGGTTAAAGAGCTATTTAATCCATTGAACTCTTATCGTATATGTAATAAATTTCTCATTAGATGTCGATAAAGAAGTAAGTAATGATTAACAAATCGTCATTATCGTCATTATCACCATCAATTACCTGATTGTAACCGTCGATTTTTTTCTTTGAATTCGTTTATTTCTTTTTTAAGATCTTCAATTTCTGCATCCATCGTAAGCAATTCTTCACTAGAAGGTGATTCTAATTGATCCTATTATATATATATAACAAACATTAATAATAGTGATTGCTAATTTATTAAGCAATTATTGTTTTCTTACTTGTTTTATATAATAAACATATTGTTTTCCATAGGGTTTACAATTAATTTCATTTTTTTCAACAAGTGAATTTAAAACCTTTTGTGCAACGGTTTTTGTGACAGCTCCACGAATAAATATTATTATTGATATTAATGTTATTATTAATGTATTAATGTTAATATCAATGTCATTATTAAAAATTTAGACATTCCAATTCTTTATGGCTTACTGGCACTATATGGACGATTTTGTTTTCTCAAATATTCCATGACCATTTGTTCAGCTAAAATCATTAAAACCGAATTTAAATTTTATGATTTTAATTTTCAGCTCTCATAATAATAATAAAATACCATCATCGCCTTTGGCAGCTGGTACTTTCTTTTGTTTTACCATTTTGTTAAAATAATATTGAACGCGTAAAAATTTTTTCTTTGTCGAATAATTTATATTAATAAACTTTTTGATTTGGTGATGTCATTGTTAATGACGATTTCTTTTTTTTACAAAAAAACAAACGTGGCAAATCATGTGACTGTTATTTTATAAAAAAAATAATTTGCATATAACGAATAGTTTGGGAAATTTTCGAGAAATACGTTATATCAAGAAGGTTTTTATTAAAGTTAATTATGGAAACTTCATCCGTTAAACCGAGATTCTTAATTCGTATCCGCTAAACCGTGATTCAATGTGTAAAAGGAAAGACCACAAAAAGAACATTAACTTAGTGATTCCGATCCCATTAAAATTCATATGCATGTATATATACAAAATTAATTTTTTTCTTCTCCAGGAAAACTTTATGCGTCTGATTGCGTTTTTAAAATTTTTATTGCCGTTCAAAGGATCGCCAATTAACAACTTCTTCACTTGCCGAAATTTTTTTTTTTTTTGTCGTCAAGACAAACAAATTTAATTAAATATGGTTCAATGTTCTACCCAACAAAATATCAACCAATCTCTCGTCCAAGCTTAATAAAGCTTGTTCACTCATAAACATAAAGCAGCTTAATATTAAACTTCAGGGAATTTTCATCGTCCTCTTCCCTTGTTACATTTTTAGATAACAATGTTTTCAGATGGATTTACATATTTCTCTTTACAATTTTTTTTTGTTTAATTTTAATTGAACTAAAGATAGTTTTAAATAAACTAGACTCCGAATTTGTTGAAAGAAATGTTCCTGGCTGATAATAAAGAAACAAATTTAAAAATTTTCACCTGATAACATGTTCAAATAAAATAAATAAATAAATCTTGGATATCTATATATCTAAATTTAAATACATGAAAATGTACTTTATATATATTAATATGAAAATTTCAAGAGTAATATTTATTTTTCTCGGAAATACATTTATGTATTTTTTTTAAGATATTGAGATTTGTTTTATAACGGAAAATAAAAAAATTATTTTAGCACTAAGGTATTAATAATACAAAATCGTCAATAGTATAAATTTAATGAGTTGTATTTTTTTTTTTCACCTTATATAAATTAAATAACATTACAATATAAAACTCAGTTTATAAACCGAATCAATTCTCCAATTGATCAATACCTTTATTGTTATTAATAGAATCAAATGTTTATTAATTAGTTAAATGCGAATAAAAAAGGTTATTAGTAATAATAATTAATGTGTAATAATTAGTAATGAATGAAAAATTAATTTACCTTTGTTTAAGAGAAAGAATTAAAATCAAGATCATTTAATGAACTGTCATTACTTGTATATATTTTTAAGCCTTTTGATTTAGCAATTTCATCATTTAATATTCTACTTATATGGTATGCACCTGGATGTGGTCTATATAATTGTTGTGAACTACTACTACTAGTATTACTATTATTATTATCATTATTATT